CGCGGCTGGCTGGTAAAGCTCGCTGTTCTGTCCCGGACCGCCTGCAGACGCCGTTCGGGCTGCTGAGGGTGTTCAGCGTCGTCATCCCCTTCCTCTACGTCGGGACGCAGATCAGCAAGAACTTCGCGGCCCTGCTGGAGGAGCACGATATCTTCGTCCCGGAGGACGACGACGACGACGATTAAAGGGTGCGTCGCCAGCGGGCTGGCTATCGGCGCTGCCCGCTCGGCTCGGGAGGGCAATGTCGGGTGGCAGCTGTGGCAGAGGCGTTGGCAGTTCAACGCGTGGGCACCTGCGGCTGCGGTGCCGCTGGCCCCGGGCCCCCCCCGCCCCCTGGGGTCGGCCAGGCTGGAGTCTGTGGGACCTCCGGCACACCCGTACGGCAGAGACCGCGATAAACTGGCGGCATTTTAGGTCTTGGAATCTGAATCAGAAGAAACTGCAGCCAGTGGGGGTCTGCGCTGCAGACAGAGGAGAGAGGCTTCGGCGTTGCTACGCCTTTACCTGTTTAAAAGTCTCCTGCCAGCTCGCAGAACGACTGCTTTAAAAGTGAATGAAACTCTGGTACGGAGGTGAGCAATCCGAGAGGACGCCAGAGCCCCTCAGAGCAAGCTCTCGGGTGGGTGTTACAGCACTGACCTCTGGAGTAGTCGGACCATTCAGACTCGGCAGATAAAGGCGAATCATTTCTGTTCTCCCTTTATTTACACTACACTACGCTTCCGTCCATTTTTTATTACTCCGTTTGGCTTGCCCTTGTGTAAAGAGTTGAGTTTGGGTGTATTTGATTCTTTATAGAACAAAGAAGTTGTTTTAAAGAAGTGGATGCCTGCTGTAGGTGACCCTGCTTCGGCAGGAGGGTTGGACTAGGTGACCCACAGGGGTCCCTTCCAAACCCTACCGTTCTGTGATTCTGTGTGGTTGTGAATAGTGTTGTTTTGTCATCAGTTTGGTGCATGTATTCCATTTGATAAGGAGATTTTCCAGCATGCGCTGTGCAGCTAAAAGCAGGGAATTAAAAGGTGGTAAGGACTGCGCTGGCCTGGTAGAAACTCCTTTTACGTAAACCCCACCTTGTGTGGTTTGGGGGGAGGGTACGGACTGGAGCTCAGCATGGTATATCTGAAAAGTAATGGGTTATTTTTCCATTTGCAGAACTGTAATGGAAGGACAGAAGGGAGAAAACTATCGACAAAGCAATGGTCCCAACATCTGTCACCCATGTTTTGTCCTTCCCAGCCGGGACGGGGGCTCTGCATCCCCTTAGCCAGTGAGCGTCCTGCGCGTGTCTGTATGACAGGAATCTGTAGATCAGGGTTGAAAGAAGTGCTCGATAGGGCCTGCATTCTTGCACACACACGCTCACCTCATCAAAGACTGCTTGGGATTCCTTTTATTAGCAACATGGGAAACACTTAATTAAAGATCAAGAGATTGAGATGCATGACTGGTCCTGTGTCTTTATAGATTATCTGCCTGCGACCTGGCATTTCTGTCTTAACCATTCTACCTCTGTATGTCTGTTCCAGTAAGGAGGCTCTCTTCATACTTGTTTCCTCTTACGAGTCCTTTCCGTAATTTGGTACTAATCTACAGTACATGACAGGAATCCTGGAGAAAGCAGCAGCCCCACAACACAGCCCCATTAAAAGAATGGAGTACGCCTGCACTGGCACTGCAGTTCAGAATAACGCTGATTCAGAACCTAGCAGGTATAGCTGATGGAGACTGTATCATTAATTTTACCTCAACAAGGATTAAATACAGTATTATCAAGGCAGAGTTAAAAGTTTTGAGTAGCTTTGGTAAAAGGTTAAGATCATGAGTGGCAAACCAGCTTGCTGATCTGTTTTACCGCATTTAGTCTCTGAACAGTGAAAATCTTTGAACGCTCTGGCTCTAAGTACCTTGTATTTATTTCCTAGGAAGTTCAGTACCTCCTTCTGTACGAGCCCTGATGTATTTTCTTAACTGTATATAAACTTCAACTCTTCTTTTCATAGAAGTGTTCAGCATTGCAATTAAATCCTTGCATAACAGACTGAAAAGGTCTTCTCTACTGCTAGGGCATGCACAGAGTATCTTCAGTCACATCAGACCAGCTGTTTTCTCAAAATACGTTACAAGGTTAAAGTAAATTTTTTTTATTTTTTGTTTTTTAAAGCCAGCATTGCCCCAGTGTCCCTCTCATGGTTTCTGGTCACTAGATCTGGTCTCTTCTCTTGACTGCCGGCTTTTCCCTTCAGTATTCATGCAGCTGTTAAAAAGTTTAATGTTGCACCCATTAACACAGTGTATAGTTGGCACTGCTTTTGATGTTTGCTCTGTAACTCACCAGCGTAGCTGCAGAGAGGGAAGGGAGCCTGCAATGTGAGTAACCCCAAGAGCTGTAGCTGAAGGCACATGGCAGGTTCTTGAGTCACTCGGTATCCCAGTTGCCCCCTTCCTTCCCCAAAGCCACCCAAGAAGTGGTTGCTCCAGTTCATCGGCTCTTGGGAGCCAAATGTGTCCCTGCTCCTGTTCTCTGTACTGCCAAATTCCTTATCGCTGCTTTATCCCACCATCTCTCCTGCCTTTCCTGACTGTGTCAGCCCTGTCCTTAAAAACAGCCCAGCTCTGGAGCCCTTAGGCACGCACGTGTACACATCCCTGAGGAGAGCTGCTTTACAGTCCTCATGTGGGGATGAAAGCCCCAGTATTTAGGCAAGGATAAAAAAAAAACCCCTCTGAGCACACTATACAAAGATTCAGTGCTGATCACACACGGGGGAGCTCCAGCACCAAGTGACCTGCTGAAAATCCATTCTGACTGGTGAAAGAAAAAATTATCCTTACCCTTCGCAAAAGGGAGCTACTAATCCTGATTCAGTTAAAGAGGTGATGGTAGGACACCACCTTCTGCTAGGCATCCGAAGCTCTTACAGAGCCTCCCTATACCAGACAACAGTACAAAGCTCCATTTTTCCAGGTAGTGTAATTTTATAGCTGGGAAATACACTCTGCTGATCTTTTTATTGCACAAAAGAGCTTTATTCGCCTATTTGATTTTACACCATTCTCTGTGAGGAAGTAAACAGAGGCTAGTGTCCAAGTGAAAAACACAGCATCAACAAAGTCACAGCATGAAATTGCAAACGCTGCGTGAATACAGTTGGGCCTCAAGCACAATCTTTCTGCAGCTACACTGGCTGTTCTGAAGGCCTGCTCTGTTTCTTCCACAGAGCTAAGACCTACACACAGGACTGTAGGCTAAGCAGAGGGCCCACAGCCCGGCTGTGCTGTGGTTATTCAGACACTGCCGGGCAAGTGATGGGACAAACTCCATCCACTGAAAATAAACACTGGTAAAACTAGGAAATCACAACTTTTCCTACAGATCACAAGGACTTGCACATGCTCTGGATTCAGTTAGTCATGAGGCTCCTAATATGCTATACAATCTTTCTATACAGATTTTTTTTTTCTACTATATAGAACTTTATTTGTAATACAAGGCAGGAAGACACAGAGTCAATCTCTCAGGGATCATGGCCCGCATAGAATTTGGACAGAAAGTCTTTTGGTTGTGGGGTTTCCGTCTCGTGGAAATATCTCATGATGTGAGTCTTCTGCTTCCATACCTGAATGGTTTCTTGAAGATCCATTTTTCCCTGCGCACAGACAAAAGAATTTTAGACAAGTTTTCAGTTAGAGCCCAAGTCCAGCTGTACAGCACTATGGAAGTTAACTGAATGCACTCAGGAACACCCTTAAGATAGCTGCATCAACGATTCTGTACTACTAAAGTCTGCTTGGCATCACCTGTACTGTAACACAAATACACACACTGTTCCTGCCCTGTGACTTTACTGCTTCATGCCCTGTATTAACAAGTCACTGGTCTCTACAGCACAGTTCCCAGACCTGTGGAAGAGGCAAGGGACCCTGCTGCCTTCTTAGAACCTGCCTTGTTTCTCTCATGACTGGCACCCCATAAAATTCTGTGTAACACTCCTAACTTTCATGCACCTCTATTTAATTTTTTTTAATACCAGCAAGTTAGCTGTAAAACTGGTGCCGAGTGCTTTGCACCAGTATCACTATCACAGAGACACTGAACGTATTTCATGACTCCAGTCTATGAATTACTGTACTGGTTTTGGAGGATGGCAGCATGAGGAAAAAATGAGACTGCCTGGAATTGTCAGCTACCACATTCTCTAGGATTCTGTTTCCAGATTTTCTTCATCGTGCTAAGACAGACTTATTGTCTTGAAATGCAAGAAATACGACAGGTGAGCATGGCAGTCCTTGGTTGGGGCTTTCTAATGCACTGGCACTGCAGAGGTCAGTTATTGATCTCAGACCAGCTCCGACGCTTTGCCCTGCTCTTGGTGTGGCGATTATTGCTTGGCACCAGACAGGTCTCTCGGGCCTAAGACATAACCAGATGCGTTACGGTTTGGGCATTTTGCCACCCAAAGCCAGCCTCCCGCCAAGTACTGCCACTCTAATGTACGTTTTGGAATCGGTGAAGAAAACCACGTCCCAGTCAGAGGGAGTACTGTAAGGAGCAGAAAGGTCACTTTTAACGGTGAACTAGGTAGCAGCATCTTTTCCCCTTTTTTTGATTGTCCTTGTTTTCTGAAAACAAATAGAGTAGTATTTAAACCACCGTGTCGCTTGCCATATGCTTCCTCTTTTTAACACCTGCCTGCCGGGAGAGCCAGTACAGCAAGTGACAGAAGTCCGTCCCGCAGCAGCTCTTGACGCAGGCGGGTTAAGACCCTGTTCCTCTGCACGCCAAAGCAGCTGGGTCCCTCACCAACAGGCCTGCTGACACGTGTAAGCGGGACTGCCGGAAACAACTCCCCCCCTCTCCCGTCCTCCGCGGCCTCAGCGGCAGGGGAGCGGCGCGCCCGTACCTTGATCACCAGCATGTCGATCACCCGCGGGTCGGTGAGGTGCGCGTTCTTCGCGAACAGCTCCCGCACCTTGTCGCGGCCCTGCTTCACCGTGATGTCCAGCTGGTACAGGTGCACTAGGAGAAACGCGGCGCC